CTTTGCTTCACTCTGCATGGCTTGCAGGAAGTCTTCTCTTCCCACGCCAAACAAACCACGAGACACCCCACAGGGGGGCGGTGATAGATTTGTACTCGGGGGCGGGGTCTGGAGTTTATTTTGTGGGGGAGGGGCTTGTATGCCATTTTTATTTTCTGTATTCTTTGCTTGGGATCGGCATGCCTAAAAAACAATAAAATTCTATTTATTAAACTGCGTGCTCATTATTGATGAGGGGGCGGAGCCTACTGTCCAGAGGAGGGGCCCCACAGATTACAAACCATGGTCATTATTGATGAGGGGGCGGAGCCTACTGTCCAGAGGAGGGGCCCCACAGATTACAAACCATGGTCATTATTGATGAGGGGGTGGAGCCTACTGTCCAGAGGAGGGGCCCCACAGATTACAAACCATGGTCATTATTGATGAGGGGGCGGAGCCTACTGTCCAGAGGAGGGGCCCCACCGATTACAAACCATGGTCGTTATTGATGAGGGGGCGGAGCCTACTGTCCAGAGGAGGGGCCCCACAGATTACAAATCATGGTCATTATTGATGAGGGGGTGGAGCCTACTGTCCAGAGGAGGGGCCCCACAGATTACAAACCATGGTCATTATTGATGAGGGGGCGGAGCCTACTGTCCAGAGGAGGGGCCACACCGATTACAAACCATGGTCGTTATTGATGAGGGGGCGGAGCCTACTGTCCAGAGGAGGGGCCCCACAGATTACAAATCATGGTCATTATTGATGAGGGGGTGGAGCCTACTGTCCAGAGGAGGGGCCACACAGATTACAAACCATGGTCATTATTGATGAGGAGGCGGAGCCTACTGTCCAGAGGAGGGGCCCCACAGATTACAAATCATGGTCATTATTGATGAGGGGGTGGAGCCTACTGTCCAGAAAAGGCCCCACAGATTACACAGCATGGTCGTTATTGATGAGGGGGTGGAGCCTACTGTCCAGAGGAGGGACCCCACAGATAACAAACCATGGTCATTATTGATGAGGGGGCGGAGCCTACTGTCCAGAGGAGGGGCTCCACAGATTACACAGCATGGTCATTATTGATGAGGGGGCGGATCCTACTGTCCAGAGGAGGGGCCCCTCAGATAACAATCGGAGGGCCCCTACAGATTACACAGCATCTAGAGGGGCCCCACAGATTGAACAGTGTGGTTATCATAAATGATGGGGGCGGAGTCATCTGTATCCACAACTGTTCTCAGATATCACCTAGAGGGCCCCTACAGATAACAATTAGGGGGCCCCTACCATGCAATCTGTGTGTACGAGGGTCCCGTGGTGTTCCATGCGTCTTATTGGCCACGCGATGGTCACATGATGGTCGCCGTTCTTCTATAGATGACACATTTGTAATGGAGATGAGAGAAGAG